AAGCCCAAGGAAAGGAGAAAACGACGTCACTCACCGAAACGTTAACGTCGTGAACGGTCTGTAGCTCTTATGGCTGTTAACGTCGCGCATAGGCGTGCCCCAAAAATCGTTCTTCAGGAGGGTGGTCAAAGGGGTTTGAGCGAGCACGTCCTTGTTCCTCACCACCGCGGGTATATCGTCGTGCACGAAATCACCACCTAACGCGTTCAAGTAACAAGCGACAGCGACCAAAGCGACCGTCGCGTAAATACACCATACGGGCGGTTCGCTCCCCTCCGTGTCGTTGCATCCGCCACGACCGATCCTTCTGCTGCTCTGGCAGCAGCAACCATTATTACGCCGTCTCATGACGATTCACAGTGGAAAACCGGCGGGTCAAACGTTCCTCCGCGATCGTCGGGAACGAAGACCGCACTTCTCATCGAGCCGCTCTCCTCTCATACGTCGCTATCTGCCGCGCCGATAAATCCTCGTCGAGCGTGGCCGCTGTACACCGTGGCGCGATTCGATCGATGATCGCATCTCAGACAACGCGATGGCGACGACAACGGCGACGACATCGACCGACCTTTTTCTCCTTTCTCTTTTTTCTTTCTTTCCCCTCCTCCTCCCGTGAGAGAATCGAGCGTACCGTTCCACTCCGTTTACAGTAACGAATTTGGCGGAATTTGGGTGAACGTTCCCTTTAAACGATCTCCATCGAACGAGACGAAAGGGAGAAGAAGAAGAATTCGAAAGTCGGTTACTCGCGCTCTCACTCTTCCACGAACTTCCATGCCACTTTGAGCATTCGTGGCGAGCTTGATAAATGACTGCGGAGGTTCATTATTTACGGGCCGGCCAACGTGTCCGCTCTAAAGAGAGACGGTTTCGCGAGAGACTTGATTGCTCTTCCACGGATAATAGTTCTCGCATGGCGCTCGTTCGGTTGAGATTGTCCCCGCGGGAGAGCGGTTCTTCCACCTTTCAACCCCTCCTCCCTCGCTCACCATGCGTTCTAACAGCTCGTTACCGTCGCGGATATCGAATTGGACCGCGTCGAACCGACGATTATCGAGCTTTTCCACGAAACTGTCGCGATACCACCACCATTCCCGCGAAACAAAGACGACGAACAACGAACTCGCGCGCGAATCGAGGGAAAAAAAAAAGAAAAAAAACGAAGGAAACGAAATGTTCTCACTGAACGTTTTTTGCGTTTATAATTCCCATCGAGGGATACACTGACATCCAGGATTCCTTTTCACGATGTTTCACTTCGTATCACTTCGTTCTATGAAGATTCGATCCTTGTACGAAGAAAATGAAAATCACTTAGGTGGTCGATCTTCTTGGTAGTTTCGTTACACGTGACTCGTTACACGCACTCCACTTAACGAATCGAAAATACAACACCAACAAGAGGTATCCACATCTCGTGTCGACGATCGAACGAACGATACGATTTTTCCTTTAATTTCTCCCCTCTCGTTCCATCGCGCCGCCGTTCTCACGGCCAATCGACGGTTCCTATTCTCTTTCCGAACGTGTCGTCGTAAGATCAAAGGAGAACCAGCGGCGACATCGGTAAAAGGCGGAGACGTGCACACACGCGCGAGAAAACGGGTGTATGACCCAGATACGCGGCATCGTGGCCGGGGACACTTCTATTGCCACGACTTTCCTATGCATATAGATCCATACAAGCGGTAGTATCTGGCCGGAGGCGCATTCAGTTCCCGAATCCCCCGCAGTGACGCCCCTTTTCCTTCCACCCTTCGTTTTCACCTCTTTTCTCTTTCTTTCTTTTTCTTTTTTTGACCCTCTCGATTCCTCCTCCTCCTCCTCTCACCTTCACATCCTACCTGTTTCCCCCCCACAGCGAAATTTCTCCGCCGCGGATCGTCGAATCCCACCCCCCTTTACACTTGGATTCCTCGCACTGTCCCCACACGATACACCCCCTAAGGTTGGAACGGGTACCACTCGAGATTCACGCCTCTCCACCACCCTAACGCGCGAGTTGACGAGGGATACGAATCGTCCACCTCTCCCCTTCCCCCTCTTCAACCCACTTTTCCACCCTCGTGTCCC